GTGAATAAAGAGCTCTGCTTCCAGATTTTACTATAGAAAACACAAACATGTTAAACTGTCAAACAAGAACTTGAAGTTTAAATGAACAAGTATGAAATATATTACAAAGTAAAGGGACACACAACAAGATATATTTTTTTTATTAGAGAATAAAGTCATAATACTACAAGATTTAAGTCATAATGGCTTAAATCTGCACAGTTTCTTTTACATGTAAAAGCAGTCAGTAAAATAAGGAATGTTAAGCAATTTGTGAAGTTGTTCTTTAGTATCAGTTAAATACTATTTTAGCACATTGGCATCAGTAGCAGGACTTTGAAATGATTGTGCAAACAATTATAAACTGAAACAATTAATGGCTACATTGTCAGATTTAATCGTCACATAATTGGAATGAAAGCATATTACACTAAAAGTGACCCAAAAGTAATTGTGGACTACTTTATAAACACAGTCATGGATGGCTGTCCACAGTAAGCTGAATTGGACAGCACGGACTTTAAACTTTATAAAAGTAATGTTAAAACCAGATTTAATGATGAGTATTTTTTGCCATAAGATGCACATTTACAGAACCTTTTTTGACCAGGAAGTGCGTGACTGCACCATGAAAGTTATTTTTCCCATTTCCTCAAACACACCACATTTCCAAAATAACTAATCAGAACAGTTTCTCGCTACTAGGCTTGTAAACAGAGAGCTGCTGGGCCTCAAAGTTTGGAGACAGGGGGAGCCAGGAAGCACTTTATAAAGAGAGTCAAACCATTAAAAACTCATACAACGTGATAAAACAGATGTTTTACACAGTGAAATGTGACTGATGAAAACTTAGGAGCTTAATCCGACACCAATTTGACGATGAATAACGTCGGGTGATGAGTCTGACTTTGTTTTCCCACATTGGACTCCACCGAGAAGAAATTCCATGCACTGCCATGTTTGTCAGAACTTATTCGGCAAATGAGTTTCCATCTCTGCTTTTGTACATTAACTCTTACAGAAGGGGGGGAATTGGTCTGGGAGGAGGTATGCACTCTCCAAGTGCTTCTAGTTGTGAGTRTTTCTATCAATAACATGTCTATTTCTTTGTCTCTCTTCCAGAGAACTATACACCTGGACTGNTTTCTATCAATAACATGTCTATTTCTTTGTCTCTCTTCCAGAGAACTATACACCTGGACTGTGGTGACACTTGCTTTTGTGTTTGTCCGTGTCTCTTTCCTGTCACCCAAACTCAGCCAATCGAGGCAGATGGCCGACCTCCTGAGCCTGGATCTGCTGGAGGTTTCTTCCAGTTAAAAAAAAAAAAAGAGTTTTTCGTTTCCACTGTTGCCAATGTGCTGCTCAGGATGGGAGACTGTGATGAAATGAAGATTCATTGCAATCTGCTGGCTTCCTTGGATTGATTGTGTTTTTTTCTTTTTCTTTTTGTCCAATGCAATGAGACAATGTTTGTTGTGACTTGGCACTAAATAAATAAACAGAACTGAATTGCATAGTGGTCCAAAAATTGTCCTTTAAACATTTTTTTTTACTTTAGTTGTTATAGTTTCAGGTATATAAATTTAAGTCATCTCAGTGCGTGTCTGTTTACTCTGCACTGCAGTGCTTGTTCCAGAGACTGAATTTTTTTTAACCATATGAAATATCTTTGGAGCTGGAAAGTGATGAACTACCTCTCATCCAAGGATGATGGGTAGAAAATGAACAGTTATCCTAGTGTCTGTTCAAAGCCTAATCACATGCAGCAGCCAAACGCATGTCACATGAGTCAATATTTAATTTACTAAGTACAGATTTCTACTCTTCAGAGCACTATTAGAGAATTTATTTAGCCAAGGACCTTTTTGTAATCTTACATCAGAATAGCTGTGCTGCATCACTGCATGGGAGGGTAATGGAGTGGAGGGACACTAATCAGCCACAAGATTAAAACTACTGCCAAAATAAGTGACCAACACTACTCAGCTTGTTACAACAACAAAGTTTTGCTGAAAAACACTGCTTTATGTGAAGTGCACAGAAAGCAGTGCACAYGAATTCATGTTACATGAATTGCACTCAAAATTTATGTAACCTTCTTAAAAATATACAAAAAAGGTTTAATAAAACCTCTGTTAAAAKACCACATCCAACAAACCAAAAAGCCCAAATAATTTATAGTTACAATGACTTAACAGTCACTTCACYTATAATATGAAGTGTAACTCAGCCACTGGGTTTCTTTCAAAGATACAGTTCAACTAATTTCAACAAGCCTCGGTTGTAATACAAAACAGTTTTTTTGACAACTCAACCCAGGTTTTCTGACTCTGAATCTTCAGAGTTACACTCACTTTCATTATGTTAGGAAAATCTGGCAGAGGTGATAAAATAAAATAAAAAAAAATAAAATGAATTTTTTGTCAACTTGTCTATAATGTTTCCTAAACATGTTACAGTGCACACATGACTCATTCAGTCTTTCAACCATGTTATAAAGTCACTGTCGAAATTAACATGAATGCAAAACTCTGGTAAATATGATGCAATCTATTTACAAACACTATTTTGTCTGTCTGTGTCAAACAGTAGAATTTTTTTATAGTTTAGTATTTACTAATAAAAATGTATTTGCAACAAAATGATTGGTTCTCTGAAGACATTTCTCAAAGTCAACAATGAAGATAAAACTCAGAAATAGAGGGGGGAAATAAACGTCCACTGATATGCAACACTGGCTTCCTGTAGTCCAGACCTCAGGGCAGCTCCCAGATGTTTTCTGTCTGTGTTCTGGCAAGTCCGCTTGGTGGCACAAGAAAGAAACCAACACAACTGCTTTTAACATTGCGACTAATCAGTGTCCATTTTTGGCTGCATTACCCATGACTTTCTGGCCTGTCTGGACTTTGTGCCATAGAAGGAATGTCAGATGCTTAGATCTCTATGGGAAGCAGGATAATTGGTTCTGGCACTGCATTTTCTGTTTTCTTCCCTTCGCCACCTTCCATCCTAACTTGCCAGTATATATTTGTCCACTCTTAGGATAGAACTGATTATGGAATTTCAGATGACTACTTAAAACCCATTTTAATCTCTGGACGCTTGTTATTGTTATTTGTTTTTTCCATAATTATCTTCTTAACATAATTAAGAAAATTATTTTTATTTACAGAAAGTTGGGTTTTTCACTTTTTTTGTAGTTAGTAGGGGATCAGTTGCACTAATTGTGGACTACAGATTATTTTTTTCATCTTAGATGATATGCTGTGGTTAAAAAATAAAATGTTTTGAGGAGTAAAACAAGAAATGCAATCAGGAATGTACTGCATGYGGATTGGGAATGGAACAAAAAAACACATTTTTCAGATGTCTCACCTTGCAACAAGGAAGTTGCTGTTGTAACAGTCTCTGGTACGCTATCCTTGCTGTAAATCGACTGGAGGAACTCTGGAACGCAGTCATTTTCATCAACRATCACAACTCGTACCTAGCAAGTGGCAGAGAAAAATCACATATTTACGTCKTCACAAACTTAGGGCATAGTGAAAAAAAAAGTTTGACATTTTGTGAAAATCACAAAATGTTTTTTATAGAAAGAACTCTACATCAAAACAATACATAAGAGTAACTTTAAGTCAAAATTTTAATTAAAAGTTATTCCAACAGAGTAAAAATCATTGAGGAATTTWTACATTTTTCAAACATGTGGCAGTAATGCTTTGCTGGTGAGCCTTCAAAACCTGCAGAAGCAATCCTACATGGAAATACAGCAGATTAAAGTCACCCTGGTATAACGTTGTGAGGTTTTTAAATCTGGGATTACTCCTGCGGGCGCTGTTCAGAATTGGTTTTCTTTGCATCCAGAGTGGTTTTCAACTGGAAGCAACCCAAATTAACCCTATCCATAACTAAAAGGGAGTTTCACTCCAACCTTATCCAGAAGCTTGACCCTGATCCATGTGGTTTATTTTCCTTTTCTCCTGAAGAAAGTTGCTCCAAAGTTTGTACTCCAGGAGGGCAGCTGGGAATACAGCCTGGTAGTTAGTCAGAAGCCCTGTGCCTACCAAGGAGTCACATACACAGATGACTTTTTATGGTTTAAACACAACAATGTGTGTTTTCTGAGACACAGTAATGTTGTTCTGTTCATTAAGAGAGCAGAAGCCTAGCAGAGCCTCATCCACACATTTGACAGCCTGCCTACGTGGAGAACTCAGGAGCAATAAAAATAGACATGGGATGGTGGCAAGCTGATCTGACCGGAAACAGCTTTTTTTTTCCTTTTATAAAACACAGTGGTGTTCACCCAAACAATACACACACACACAAGTGGTTCATAAATACCGCTGGTATTAGGTTTGGTAGGTAAGATGAAATTCTGTAATATCAGTTAATCCTCAGTAAAGATCAGCTACGAAGCAACAAACAAGGAAATAAATTCTGACCATGTCAATTCCCTGAGGTGATTGTGTGTGTCTACCGGACTGTCAATCTTTGTTTGTGTGTGCTTGTGTGTGTTAGGGCAGTGAAATAGACATAGAGGCCAACCAACACTGTATCTCCTAATTGATCCAAATACATTTTTAGTCCCATCTATGAATACTTACCCATACAGTATGTTATTGAATCAAACATTATATTTATTTATTAACTAAAGACACTGTTTATTGTTTACACAGTTTATGATGGTGATAAAACTGGGTTTTATAAAGACTATTATTTACAGATGGTTCTTCTGAGTCAATTTTTGTATCCTTTATGTCATTTTGCCATAAATACTCTGCTAATATGACCAACACACACACACACACACACACACACACACACACACACACACACAC